TTTTCAATAATTTTTTTTCAACCTATAGAAATACCAACCTGTATATTAAGCAATAGTTTCTAATCTTATCAACTTTTCGGAATTTCCACTTGATGCAAAATAACAACATACCCTAACAAATAAAATTTGTACTGCTTTGAAGTTGAACTTTTTATTTATGAATTGTATGTCAATCTACGATATGAAGTCGTGTTCTTGTACAAGGGTGTTGGAAATATTACCATTTATAAACAAATAACTTGATGTGTTGTATATGAATATGTAAATTGCAAAAGTTATTCTAAATTTGGATAATTCGCCAGTTTTCCCTTTAATCGATCTAGAAAATATACTTAAAGCAGTATCTTATTGCAAATGTCTATATAAAGGTCTATTAAAACAGTCAAATACAATGTCATGTAATTTTACCTTACCGCCCGCATTTGTCAAACTCTTATTACCTAAACGCACAGTCGCACATAATATTTTTACTCAAGTTAGCCACGGTTAAAAGATAGCTGCGTATATTACAGACTCAAATATAGAGTTGAAATATAATAGATAGGACAAAAATCACGAAAATAAACCCAATTACCATTTATAAATGATTGATCTACTAGTAGTTATGTCATGATAATAATTGCCAATCTCATATTATATGTACATGTATTATAATTAAGACTATTTACAATATAATTTGTATTTGGTGGGTGTTTTCTCTTACTATTTTCATCACTCAGTCACTCATTCACTCGCACGCACGCACGTACTCGCTCACTCACTCAGCACACACTCACTCACTCGCTTGCTTGCTCGTACGTACGCACACACACATTCACTATACTCATTTATTTCACTATGTGATGTACAACTATGCGAACAAATCCATTTCAATCAATAGTCTACTTGAAAGTAATTAATCAGTACAAACTAATAAATGCAAATTACCTACTTCCAGTCATCACATGTTTAGTTAATGACAAAAGCAAACATAAATAAGGTGTGTTTAGACAACAAATATATTAATAGAATCGTGAATAATTTATCGTTTATTCTCAAGTCTTAATCAGTGTGACGATTTAATTACTAAACTTAGTGAAATGAAACCATTGACTTAATCACACAAACAACAAATCAAATAACTTATAAATCATTGAATACCAACTCTGGAAAATTAAAGAAAAAAAGGAATAAAAGTGTTTTCTCGTTCAACGATGAAAATTTTATCATGATTATTGCGTTTCAGTGGATATCTCAACGATTTTCTTGCTTTTCTTTTACTTTTCGCTGGTATCTATTTGTAAGCTTATGCAGATATTTTCGGTGACACAAAATTAGTGACGAAATAAACAATAGTATGTTTACATGGTTTATATGTGGTTTTTTGTGTTGTTGTTTGTTTGCGTTAATTACATAGCATCGACAGAAAAGGGATCACCATTCATTAAAATTGCTGTTTTAGAGCCATCAATTGTACAGGTACATGTACTTGAATTTCAATCATTACAAAGTGCTACATTTGAATATACTCATATACTCTCCCCAAAATCTCAATGAATTCTTGAATGTCATTTCGGGTTAAAAATATACCAACAATTTTATTACAACGTTTCCATTTTCAGGCGATAAACTGCAGTATACCTTTTTTACAGCTACCACGTGGGAAATTAGAATACATGAAACAAATTGTACTAATATTTCTTGCAAAAAAAACCTGAAACAATGGGAGCGGGGGTGTGAAGTGGATCAATATCGTTACAGCATTGACGCATGTTGTATGTGCCAAATAAGAAATACACAAACCAAACACGAAACCTCTTGTTCGTACAGTTGCTGAAACACATTTTTTATTTAATTTAGACCTCTGTTAACAAGTTCACTTTGGGTTAAAGCCTGTCAAAACAACAAACAAGGTTAATTCTTATGACACGTGACAGATTACACAATTATTAAGTTCATTAACATTGTTAGAAGAGAAAGGAGTTATATTTTACATTTAAAACTAATTGTAGACAAATTTTGTACAAATGAAATTTGATGTAACCCGCAGACGTAATCAAAAGAAGTGTTACGAACGGTGTAGACAGCTACGATAAAATCTAAAACACTCCGCATGACCCTCTTCCTGCAAAAGAAAATGGCGGTCATAATTTGAAAAGGTGTTACATGGGTTAGGTGATAACATCTTAATCCCACGGACTAGGAAATATTTGATTTTATGTTGCCGTGTATAAAATGCCTTAAATACAGACATGCCGACTCTGAAAGCAGCAGGAAGTTTATGGCAAATTCTTGCATAAAGTTTGAGCAACATTTAATAATAAAAAACATTTTTATATCATAATAATTCTTATATAATGAAATTGTAACTCAAATACCGTCCTTTTTTTATTATGCAACCATTCCTTTCTATAAAATTTCATTTTGTTCGGGAAGCTATATGTAGTTATCTGCCTTTTATAAAAAGGAACTATCTATAGAGGTAATTAAATGGTTACATTTTTGTTTTGTTTCTTTTTGGTTTTCACTCGGGCATGATTAAACATAAATTCGCAGTTCCTTATACGTACGGACCAATTAATAGCACAATTTGTCTCATATAAAATGAATATTTTTTTACTTCTTTGGAAAAAGGACAAGAATGAGTTTAATAACGTTTAAACTATGGTTTTCAGAGCATGTTAGAGGCTCGCTACCTGAATAAAGTAGTTCTTAATGTGAAATCATTTGTAATAATTGTAGCACAATGAAAAACAAGATAGTATGACTTTCATACAAAATGCTAAACCAATATAACGTTACTAATTGCTAAAAAGCAACAGAAGAAAAAGATAGTCCAGGTAATTTGAAATGAGTAACATTTTGGAAACTATAAATTAAATAAGCTTTTGAGTAATGGAAAATAATAGCATTAATTGGGCATAATGGGCCTTTAACAAAACAACGTATTCCAACTGAACTTTTTCTTTCTTTCATTTTTACAATCGTCACTGTGCCGCAGTTTTGTAATTCCTTTTCTTATTTATTTTTTATTTTCAAGTGTTAACAAAATTATCGGCATCATTTGAAAATAAAATTGCCAGTTTAGTTTAATAATACCATTCGTTAAGATATTCATCTACGTAATATTCGACGGATAAAATATATCTTACAACTAAAACAACTCACCTATATTTTTCATTTGATAAGTTTTTAATTTAAATGTTAAAAAGTCAGGGTCAGAAATGCATGAATGTTTCGGAGACATTTTATGTCACTGGACGACATAAATTATATTTTTGTAAGGAAATGTAACATATTCAAACAATAAAACAGTACAAATTTATTTCTCGTAACCTTTTTTCAACATTTGTAGGTCAACAGGTCAATTTCAGTCAATAAACTTTAAATTGATAAAAAACTGAAAATTATCTTAACATGTTTTATTAAGAACCAATTCATATTGTTGAGTCATAACCACAAAGTTTTATTTTTAACTTTTGTAAACATTTAATGTAAACTTTACACAAGAAAAACTACGCGTTACATAGCTAGGAATATCGAGACGTCCGCATTAAGAGACTTAAAGTCTATCTTAACATAAATGAAACAGCCATAAAGTTAAGAAATTACATCTTAAGAAGTTAAGTGGGCGGGGCTTTAAATTCCCTTTCACCAATCACAGTCACCTGCCTAATCAATATTCATAATTTATAATGGTTTATTTTTGTTTTGTTATATTAACGTGACTAAAATTTTTCAACGCTCATACAAATATGATTATTAAAATGTTTAATGTATATATAATTATACACCGTTGTGTTGTATTGTAATCTATCCAGTGCCCCCAAATAAATATTATTTCGAATAAGTCCTCAAGATTTATGAGCACGGTCCTTTTGAAAGGCAAACGAGAAGGTAAAATTATTTGGCTAGTGGTAGACGCCACTTTAAAGTCACGTTAGATCTACTGGGCAAATGTGCTCGACCTATAAAATTTATTTTCTTTACTTTTTATGACTTAAGTGGAGGAGAAGGTATTGAATAAAACGTAAATGTTTTGTACATGCTAGCTATAGAAGGCGAATAATGATTGGCTACTAAACTAAGGTGAATGTTTGCATATGTTAGCTATAGAAGACAAATGATTAGTTATTGGGTTGAGACAATATAACTTTATGTGTTTTTTATTTATTTTATTTTCATGCCTGCTATAAGAGTATCTTAAGATACACTTAGCATTATGCCAAAATACGACATTTCCTATGAAAAAAGAAATGTGCAGTTTGACTTATACAATCTACTCCTATACGTAAAAATGAATGATTGTTATAGAAGAAAAACAATAGCAGCAACAGCAGCAGCAACAGCAACAACATCTCTGGACATTTGTAAGAAACATCACTACCATACCATATTTTTCTTTTCTAGTGATGAATTGTTTAAAAATAGGTCACATAAACGAAATAGAGTCTTCTTTTTCACTTACACATACTCATTGTTTCGATATATTTTTTTCTCTTTAAAAAAAGTACACATTTCTCAATTTACGATGTAAAAAATAAACTGAAAGTCCCAAAATTACATCAAATATCGAGAAGTTTTCATTAGTTTCGAAACATCTAAATTCATTAATCTATTGCATTTCGTCGAGTTGAACGTTTTAAATTTGTTATACCATTCCGAATGACACGCCCCCGATAAATATATTCACGCACCATCTTCAAATTAATTTAAACACGTTTTTCTAAATCAAAACAGCTTTCCAAAATTGATTTTTACAGAAGCTTTGAATTCTGAAATAAAGCATGTCAAAACATCATATTTCAAATTAAAAAATAAACAACAAACTACGATAAAAACGGTTTGTTTTGAAGAGATCTTAAAAAGAAAAAAACACGCGTTTATATACAAAGAAAAAAGACAGCGAGATTTACTATACAAAATAGACCCTACTTACGATGTGAATATAGGGAAAGTCGGACATTTAGCTCAGTATTCGTTAAGACTGATTGAATTGAGATAGTATCAGTTATAGAACAGAGTCTGCGCCGGCCGTATGCGCACTCGTTCTGTCTATGAAGGTGTTAGGGATCTGATAGGTTGGCGACGATAGTACAGTCGTAGCGGCTACGGGGAGTTTTTCCCTCTGTCGCTAGTGAGCGCAATAAACGATTAAACCCAAGTCAAAAATAGGTGATATGACGGTACTTGTTGGATAATATATTCCTCAGGTGGGAGAGATTTTTTTTAGGAGAAGAAAACCGTTTTCCTTTTAATGATGTTTATTGTTATTTACATTATGATAACTCTATTGGAGAAAACTCGGACATAGCTGATGGGGGATTTACAATAGTAATGGTAAGAGAAAGTAGTTACTATGTTAAATTGATGTAGATATGTGTTAAAATGTATATTGTTTATGTTAAATGTTCCAGTTTGTTTAAAACTTTTACCTTTTCCACTGGTAATTTCAGAAAAAAAGCACTTTAAATGTGATATTTATAACTGTTACAGATTTTTAATGGAATATCGCGAATTCAAAGATTTTCTAATTAATCTCTTAATTGTACAATGTAAGCTCGACTATTAAAGACCTCATGTTTTGTAAGTATGTCAATTAATACTAATTGATACATGGTTATATCAATTAATAAGTTCAACTATAACACGGTTTATCAATTTTCTAGTAATTATATCATTTAAGGTAAGAGTATTCTTACTGCAGGGAAAATGTATGTGATTTTTTTTTGATTTTGTTAAGTAAAAAATTAATAGGAAAAATGGTCGAGTGGGCACAGTGGTTCAGTGGTAACACATATTTCTACAAATGTAGGGGTTGCAAGTTCGATCCAACATTTTTTTTTAAAAATCGGGGAAAGTTTTTTAAACTGACGTCGCTTTTAATGGTTCTTTACATATTGCACGTGAAAGAACAGACCTTGCACGTGAAAGAACCGTTTGTTTCGTCTGGAACTTTCAGAGTGGGGAAGTTTTTTTTCATCTATTGCAATGTCATCCATTCATAAAAACATGTAAATTAAGATTACTAAAAGCATTCTGAACTGATTCCTATCTCCCGTGACATAAAAATAAACACATATTTTATCTTATTAACTGACAGGAAGAAAATAATGTTAATAATAAGTTCATACACATGTATAAATAAACTTTTCGACATACATTTTCTATACTAGAAATGTAATGATGTACATCTAAGCGTGTTTTATAAACGTGTATATCTGTTAGTAAATTTATCTTAATGGATATTTAAGTATTAAAGAATTTAATGGTAAAGAAAAGTCAATATTTATATGCAAATTTTATAATTTCAAAAGTTATTATGAAGGGAGTTGCTGAAAGGAAATTCTTTGAACGTTTTATTTTATTACATATTTTATCAACAGGAAAATTTCGAGGTGGGGGCGTAAATAATTTAACTGTCCTATAGAAGTGTCGTTATATATAAACTTAATATAGTATTGCATGAAACTATTTTATACAGATACACCCCTCACATATAACTCAAAATTCATTTTCTTGCTTTTTGTTTCGTTTCGTTATGTTTAAGTAAGGACTGGTTCGAACCAACGGCAGCACCTAGCAACGCAATAGCGGCTAAGTTTGTCCAAATCTGTCCGAAAACAGACTATAAACTTATCTTTAATTGGTAATAATAAATAATGTAAAGTCTTTATATTTAAATATCCCTCCTACATATAAATATTTCTAAACATTTGAACTTAGTAACCAACAATAAAAACAAAAGAATCTGTCGTAACGTCAAATTGGGGACAGAAAGGAATGCAATGATTAAACAATTAAACTTCTTCAACATAAAAAATGTGCAAATGAAGACAATGTTTAATTTACCACGTGCAGCGAGAGAATGATCTTGGTGCAACGTAAAGGCAAATGCCACTCTTTATTCTAGATTAAAGTATATGTGTGTGCATAAAAACGTTCGGATCTGAAGTCACTTTAAACAGAATCACTCTTGTTACAGGATAGAAAATGATATCAAGCGACAAATAAACGCATGCTTATCAACATATTTAGTTAATATATGAATAAAGTATCATGTTTAATTTATAGCACGTGCAATATGATATGATTAAAATGCAAACGAATGCAACGTTTGCATGAACGTCCGACCTTCTGTGCTGGTAAAGTTAGGTTCGGGACGGGGCGCGTCGATTCCGGAAGTACTTAATGTTCAAATGATGGTAAGCGCGTCGATTCCGGAAGTACTTAACGTTCTTATGGTAATATGTTGCAGCATGGCCGTGTGGCTAACACGTCGGACTAGAAATCTAAGAATCGCTAGCTGTGTGGGTTCAAACCCAGTCAGGGGCAAGCCGTTGTTTCCTTGAGCAAGAAATTTTACACTTATAGTTTAGCACTGGTTGGTTCCAGAAATGAATTCGAAAGTGTTTCTATAGATTTTTTTGCTTTTTATATAATCTGACTAACATAAAGGAATGGTAAAAATGATGGCAAAGTTTATCAGTGAAACAGTTTTTTTCCCAGTCTATGTCTTTTATAAGTCTCTCTTGTATATGACACATATCAATGCGCTAGAGGACTTTAACCTATAGGAGAAAGATAGAATCTTCAAAATTCATTTTTCTTGTTCTAGTTTAAAATCAACCACTAAAATAAATTTGAACACAAACGCAATAATGTTGAAACTGCGTACACACGGACGTACACATGTATTACTTGATCACAGATAATTATATTTAAAATGAAATATTACCTATAATATTATCTAACAAGTCCCCTTAACTTAGTGTCAATTCTAAAGACTTAAGAACCCTATATAAACACCTTTAACATAATAGCATTGAATATTGAGTGTAGCGGCGGACATAGAAACAAATATTTCTTTGTAACTTGCCTTAGAGTCCTGATCGAAGTATATAAGCGGTTCCGTCCCTGACTTGAATATGAAATCATGTTAAATGTTAGTATGATTATTCATGCAAATGTACGGCTGTTCCTTTTGATCACATCTATGATAAACGTACAGTTTTACTTTTTTTACTTGTCACCAAACGTCTTCAACTATGTAAGATTAAGCGTTTTTTTCCTACTAAGTATTCGTGTAAATTCATTAGATTTTATGAAAATATTATTTCGTATGCTTAACATGTGTGCGATACGTAAATGTTTAAATTTGTTTAAGTATGTTTTAAAGTAAGAATGTGAACGTTAAACTTTGTCAAAATAAACTTCGCACTCGACTGGTATTTCGACAGATTTTGTTATTAAAGAACATTGTGGAATAAATATAATTGTGTACTTATAACACTTCTCCTCTAATCATACGTACGTATTAATAACTTATAATATCGTCTTCATTGGCATTAACTTTATATTTCTATAACCTTGATTTTCATTGGTAGGAGTACTATTACAGTGCAAAGTTTTTAAAGTGTCATATTTGCTTAAGTTACGTGAAATTATTTCTTAATTTATCATGGTAGTCTGTCGGCGAATCATTTCAATTCATTTACAATTTAGATTGCACGAAGTAATGTTTCTTAATTGCGAATTACTTGAGGGGAGAAATCGAGTATTAAAATATATACACAGTGACTTTTTAAAACCATTAATGGATTAAGCGAATAAGGATATAAACATAACGAAAAAGGTAAATATGTAATGTGTGTACTAAATTCTTACGCTTACATTTATATAAACGAAAGTGAAAACAAAACGACATCCTATCTGTAAACTTTACAATTTGATTGAAGTGTAAATATTTATATTTTTACGAATAAGGTCACCAAACGATATTTATAGGATTATTACAGACTTAGGCATTTAGTCGCCATTGACCTAAAGACATTATTTGTTATTATCATGCTCGTGTAAATTTAACGCTGCAGTCAGCTGGCATTTTATCTTGTATCGGGCCAATTAATAAGTCTGTAACAAAAATTAATTGCTCTGTCCGATCCAATAAAAAGTACCGTGTCTCCAATTTATTGAAGTCTACATTGAACCATTTCGGCTTATCTATTTAACAAAACAATCTTTTAGATTTATTATTCCAATAAAAAATGGCATCTACCACGAAGTACTCGAATGAGGACCGAAGGCACCCAATTACCGACATTAGAACTAAATTAGCGCAACGACAAACCTAATTAGCGTCCATTAACAGTTTTGCGGGCCAACCAATATATAACACTGTCATTAAACTGTCAACTTGACTCCCCAACAAAGACACCGTTTTGATACTTGTAAAAATATTGATAGATTTCTCAAAAGCTATCAAATGTATCTCGGACTCGGATTTACGAGATCTTTAGGAAAACTATTACGTCACTTCCGCAGGGTAAGTTCAGCTTCGGCGTTTTTGAGTGTGTGTGATCTTCAGATCATTATCAAAGTTTATTTAATATTTAATTTCTTATTCAATATTTTGTTAAGCCGATATAATGGGTAGGGAGAAGCATTTTGTCTCAAAGGCGTTTAAAAAAACACGCGCGCATCTACCATGTGGTCGTCTGCTTTTTACCTTAAGATTTTAATCATCGTGATTCGCCTTTTGTTGTATAAAAAACACATTACATACGCATCACATTATCACATTATCCTAATATTATCTTTATTTAATATCTTATCTGAACAATAAATATAAGCTAAATTGAATACGAGTATTAAATTGATTTCTTTTTGTCTTAAAATAAAAAGTGAAAATAAAAACGTCCACTCATATAGATCAGTTATTAAAGTATATTAATATATGCCATATTGAATATATCAAACGTGTTTTATTGATGTCAATATTTCACTGAGACGATATCAGTTTTTATTGCCCCCTTTTACGTCAATATCAATCGTCAATGTATGTTGTCATAATTTAAAACGAATTGTAAGTCTGTTTAATATTAATTAACATGCAAGAATGTTAGTCAAGGATATTTTGATATATCTACGTAACCTACGCGTTGAAAAATAAAACCACCGACTTCTTTATATCCTAACTCCCATTTCCTCAATCGCAAATAACGGAAGGGATAAACGAATGGACGTTTTACCCGCATGTAAATGTTCAACGTCTACGTCACGTACGTCATTCAAAAAAAATAAAGAAAAAATGTTTTTTTAACCTTTTAAGTCAGATCTAAATAACTTATATATTTCAGGAATTCGTCAAATATTAATATAAATATATTTTTTTCGTATAAAATAAAACGAATTACTCAAAAGAAGGTACTATTTTGAAAACTGGGGATGGAAAAAGTGATATATTTCACCTCAATAAATATGCAGTAAAAATCTTTTTAAAAACATTTTATGTGCAGGAATTTAACTACCTGTCCACTAAAGTTGGAATTGTTCTGTTATATAAAAATTTCATTGATATAGGCAATGATTATTGAATTGTTGTATCATACCGAAATGTATTTTAAAGATGGTTTCATATTGTACGAAAGGCCGGTGGGGACATTTCAACTTCATGAATTTTCGATTACATCTTCGTGAATTCACAATTTTAACTTCGTGAATTCACGTGTTCACCATACGAAATTACGAATTTACGATTTTAACTTATTGAATTCAAGATATCGTCTTCATGAATTCACGAAATTCACGAATTCAAGATTTCATTTTCATTTTCACGAAGATGAAATCGTGAAATTCAGAACGTAAATTCTTGAAGTTGAATTTTGAATCACTGAAGTTGAAATCGTGAATTCGTGAATTTAAAATCACGAATTCATGACGTTGAAATTGCGAATTCGTGAATTCTGTATGCTGAAATCGTGAATTCATGAATTTGAAATTTTGCATTTGTGAAGATGAACCCGATAATTCAAGAAGTGGAAATTTCACCATCGGTCTTGCGTAATATTGTCACATCTTACAATTCTTACATTGTTCAAATAAGAAAATGAATTTTACCTACAGATATTGTTTCGGAGTTCAATATTCTCTTGAAAATTCTTTATGTTTTAGTATTGCGTGTTTTTCTTTCTTTCCCTCTTTTTAATTCTATTACTCTGGCTTTTATGGGTTAACTGTTATCCGACGAATCTTTTTTCTCTTTAAACGACCTGAAGAAACTCCGTTGAGGTCCGAAGGTCTAAAACTTAAATTTTGAATCTCTTACAAAAATCAACATATGCATTAAAGCGAAACAAAAACTGCCCAGAATTAATATGAAAATCAATATGTTTTAGCACGATTTGAGTTAAAACCGAGTGATTAACGCGTTGGACTAATAATTTTATTTCAAGAACATCTTGTCGCGTGCATGAGTTCAAATCCCATCAAGGACAAGGCGTTGTTTCCATTAGCAAAATACAACTTTAGACTCATACTGCTCGGATCAAGGAACTGATTCGAATCTGTGTTGTGTTTCAATAAGCTTTTAGCTTCCGACTCAATCGAACTAAATCAAATTTAGTATCAACTAAATGGTAAACGAATCACGAAACCCTTCATTACAAAAAAATCAGTGTAGCTCTTCTATGATAGCCCATTGCATCAGGGACAATCATATTATTTTCCTGATTACACGAAATTCCTGGTTATCATTTTAATAGTGAGAGTTTTTTGTTTACATGCAAGTTGCGTGTAAATTTAAATGATTTAGCATTTAAGAAATAAAACTAGATATTAAAGGACGTTAAAACGAAACAGTCTAGTTAATATGCTTAAATTTTGCGATATTAAATTTTGATTTATTACACAAAATTGTTTTTTCGCAGATCATTCATTTCTAGTGCAGTCCCGGATTTTAAGTCGAATGCATTTTTTTTTTGTTGTTGTTGTTTTGTAAACCAGTTGCTTTTAACGAATGCGTTTCTTCTTTTTTCAGTGAAAGTGTGGGGAATGTAAGTGCGGAATCAATCAGTCAACACTCCCGGTATAATACTGGAGGCCAACATGAAGTAAGAAAAAAAGCCGTAAAAAACGACCGACTGTCAAAATATTTAGTCTGTGTGAAGTCATACATATTGTTATTATGGAACCTCTTTTTAACGGATATCAGTCGGGCGAAAACATGTAATAAATACATGTATGTAACCTTATGTCTGCTACACAGAACCTGAACGCAGGGAAAAGAACGATAAAATATTTTTCATAATCGGCAATTGCCTCGGATTACAGGAACATTTTCGATGGCGCCGCTGTTCGAACATTTCACATACATTATGACTGATAATGCGTTTGTCGAAACTTTAAAAGGTATATGAAACGGTGTAGAGCGTAATAAAAGTGCACCATGATAATCACTTTACGAATATGCATGGCCGACTCTGAATCGATTAAATACTGACTTGTTTAAATCAAAGAGAGTGGGGGTAAACCGTTTGCGCCGTTCATGGTCATGAATTTACAAAGAATGTGTATCTGCATATTTTTTGTATTTTGTTAAATAAAATTAAGAGAACAGAATGGTTCTTTTTAAAGATTATGAAAAGACATAGATATTTAAAAACTTGCACCGTTTGATCCTGGGCATCACGTGGTATTGTCATGTGACCTAAAGTTTTAATTTTAATATTATTTAAAAAGGGATCTGCAGAAGAAGATACGCGTTTTTGGTGTGGTTCGGAATTAAAAATATAAAATAATGGTGAATAGATGTACGTTATTGTTTGAATTAACAGACATTGAGGTTTATAAAAAGCTGATAATATAAAAACTCGTATTGGATATGAACGTTTACATGTATGAAAACGAAAGACCTGCGAAGCTACTATGGTTACACGAAATGTTGGAATAATTAACAATTTTGTTGGATTTTACTGGTGTTTTATTTTATTAATTATCATGGGATTTGGAAGTGTGCAGTCTCAATTATCAGGTAGGTAATTTTTTTTTAATTTTGTTGCATTTGTTTTAACTCTTCACGAAAAAAAAAACAGAAGTAAAAACATAAAGAACATTTAATAACGAAATCTTCTCATATATTTGAAATGTCTGATATGGATAATTAAGAATGATTATAATGATATGCATTAAATGTATGTAAAATACACATAAACTGTTTCTACTGTAAACTGTTGCGGATACAATTTTCTATAGGGATATCATGCACCTTTTTTACTATGTTAATATTTTTGATATTTGTTAAAGATAACGAGGATGGTATTTAATATTTTTTCTCGGTACTTAACTCCCGAAGCTGTATTGGACTATTTGATTGGGAAGAAAACTTATATTTTGCTTATAATCATAGAGCGGCATACCACTTATACTTAGTAACCTCAGTACTTTCTATCTTAATGCTTACTTTCTCCGCGATTATTTTGGCAATTCAGTTTGCTTAAATTAGTTTACATCCCCCAACCACGCCCGAAAACAAAGACAAATCAAAAACACATTCATTTATTTCACACATTTTTAAATTGTTTGATTATAATATTCACTTATTTTCTCGGATTTTTCTAAATCCAGAAATTTCACCATTTTCATGTATCGCTAAAGCCGGTGCTAGGGGGCGTGGTCGCTAGCTTGCACTTTTTGCTAACGACAATGAACAGGCGTAATCAAACAATGTCTTTAACATTTGCGATTTTACCGTATTGGGCGTTCTTTAGAGATTTAACACTTTCCTATTCCTTGGACCATTTTTGTTTTTATTTTGTTAAATTTCTGCTGTTTCATTTGTTTCGGAAAAAAATAAAGTCATCTTTAATGCATAGCTTTTAATACTATAGTATTTTCTTGACAAACCGCTATAACACGTTGCAGGGATGTAAAATTTTCATTCATTATTTATGCATTGAGTGAGGAATTTCATTATCACAATTAATACATTAGCATTATATTCTATAATTAAACTATCAATTTAGAATTTGTGTAATTCTAAAGTTCGTATCTAATATTTACGAAACAATAAATCATTTCCGTATAGGTATTTATCATGTTTATGCATATTATGATTATGTTCAGATTGACAGGAAAATATGATATGTTGACTTAACTGAACTTTTAATATACGTAGAATTATATTTCTATTTCTATGTTGCAATGAACAAAACGGGACGCACATGCCATTCATATGTGACGTCAGAGAACAATATTGTAATAAGAGTGGTGCGTTACATATTGCACGTAAGCTAAACACTTCAACACTCCTGGAATGGAGTTCAAATGGAAATAAATAAATAAATAAATAAATAAATAAATAAATAAATAAATGAATAAATAAATAAATAAATAAATAAATAAATAAATCTCTAACTTGCATCTATCATTTTTTTTTGTTTCTGTAAAAATGCATTAATCAAAAACACATATTAAAATGTACATTCCCGTCTTTCTACATTTAAAGCATATAACTTAACAGATTTTTTTACAAAGAACAATATAAATATGGTTTTTAAAAAAATTGAGTTTTCAAACATTTACGAAACCCGTTAAAAGACATATAATAAATATAGAATAAAACGTTAGTGCAAAAACACACAAAAAAGAACAAGAAATAAAAAACACTTAATACTATTACACAGTGAGTAAATCGCAAACTTCACCATACAATATTAATCATCTTAACTTCTCTAATTGTATTCTAATTGCTATGTTTGAACATTTCTTAAATAGTTTTAACCCTTTTTTTTCTCAACCGTCATTGCATTGGCGCCACAATTTTTTACCTCTAAATAGCTATAATTTTGTGAATTGACGATGAAGACATTATCATTAAAACCCCTAGAAGCGTAACTATCTTCAACTGTTACTTTTAAATCATGTAATTACTAACATAATGTAAGACGATGGATTAGTGTTGCTTAAAATCAGTGAAAACAGCGGAAAAATGTTAAAAAGTTAAAACAACCGCAAAAAATGATATTAACTACCTCTGGGTTACTGATTTAACATGGAACAATGTCCAGTGATTTTTTATTTATTAATAATGTGGCTAAATTAGAATCTAAGGTTAAAAAAAAACTTTTTTATTTTTGATAATTCCACAAATACTGGTATTTATTAATTAGACCAACCATTCATTTAATGCTTAGCCAAAGATTCATCGCTTCTTTTCAAAACAAAAATAACTTAATATTTAAAATATTGTTAAAAGTGGCGATAATTATCGCAACAAAGACGTTACTTTTTAGACATTTTTTTTTAAACTTTGGTTGGACACTTTGATAACAACTCATTAATCTTTTTTAGTTAGTTTAAGGATATCAATGTTAACAAGACAAGGACTTTTAATATCAGATCATTTTCTGCGATTGATTTCTCCTCTGCCAGTTGGTATATCGTATTTCACTTTGAGCTATCACATATCGGAACCACTCGCTGTTTTTCGTACCCTATTACACACAGAGATTATCTAAGTAGACAGCAGTGGAATCTTCATTGTCACCTAACCATGAAAATTGTATTGTTTTATCTGACCCTGTCAACCATGTGTGAGCTACTGTCTTGTTTAATAGGTCACTAATTTTGAATTTTTGTTTTGTAACTGAATACTGCAGGGCAGTATTTTTTCGCATATATTTTTATTATGTAATACAATTCCATTGCAGGGGTCCTTTGGAGATAATTGCGCACAAACCCTTTTGAGGTATAAAAAAGTGACATTTGACAAATTGACACGTGAGACATCGAAGAAAGGCTTGAAACAGATGAATGATAAAACATATTTGATAGAAATTGAAACTCTTTATCCGCGAGATATATTATAACATTTATACCTCGTAATCGACATTTCTAAAATCTATTCAAAACAGTTACGATCTTTTTATTGTTAAAAAGACCTTCGGTTTATGACACTAAAAATGGAGACATCGCTAAACACGTGTATTTAATAAAGCCATCAGGGTCCATGGTACAGGTAGAGTGAAAGTAACATGAAAGTTTAAAAAAATGATTTTCATGCATTCACGTATAATGGTATAAGAAATAATAAGAGTCAAACAGGAAAACAATTTTGTGCTTATGAAATCATGAACATTTCGAAATATATCATAATAAATTATGTATTAAGCATTAAATGCAAACATTCATGGCCATATCAAATTGCATATTATACAAACATATAAATATATGTATTTTTTGAGTCAATGGGCGAATCAACACAAGTTTGAAATAATTACTTCACAAATCATAAGATTTTTCTGAAGAAAAATAAACAACAACAACAAGAACAACAAACAAACGTTTACGTATACGTTTTTTTAATTACTTTTATCATATATTCCTTCTACCCTATGCAATCTACATTGTATAACGTATGGGTACTCTAATATTGCACATTGATGGAATTTTATTTCAACAGCAGCAAAAAAAACACGAAATATTTATATTAGGAAATAAATAGAACATTTTTTTACAATCCTAAACACAATTTTAATTGTATGGTTGTTATGCAAAATATTGCATATTTTGTTGTATTAATCATTTTATTTTTATCCCGTTACTAACGGAATAAGGTCCATTTATGCATAATTAGTCTGACCCGTTTTATGTTACTTCTGTTACATATTGAGAATTCTTGCATGAATCTCAGGATTTGCATTGGTCAGTGTACATTCTATAATAGTTTTTAACCAATCAAATATCTGAAATCTGAGTTGATTCTAGAGAATTTCTTGATAACATCGGACTAAGAATTTGAACGACTGGCGGCAATTCTTTTATTTGAACAACTCTGGCAACATCTTTTTTCTTTTAAACGATTTTGAAATTTCCATAAAACATATAAATCTAGAGGCGGGTTGCTTTAAAACGTATTTTTTCTTTATTAAGTTTACTTTTTTACATGTAAAGTTTCGCCTCATATGTGCACGAATCGCTGAAAGAGATTGATCTGAAAGTTTTAAAAAAATCGTAATTCAAATTACGATCATAAAAAACAGAAGTCGCTTGTAAAAAGCTTGTTAAAAATGACTAACAAGTGTAATTAAAACTTGGCTAATCTTTTTCGTCAGTTTTTATTTCTTTTTGCAAAGTCACCGATCACATTTACATAATTGAGCCGCGTCACGACAAAACCAACATAATGGGTTTGCGACCAGCATGGATCCAGACCAGCCTGCGCATCCGCGCAGTCTGATCAGGATCCATGCTGTTCGCTTACAAACCCTACTACAAGTAGAGAAACTGATAGCGAACAGCATGGATCCTGATCACACTGCGCGGATGCGCAGGCTGGTCTGGATCCATGCTGGTCGCAAACCCATTATGTTGGTTTTGTCATGACACGGCTCATATTAATTGTGACACGCTTGAATCGTTTTTAAACAAATAACGAATTAATAAAATACATGTATATTGACTTAAAGATACAGACAATATTGTTTCTGGTGATTTTTTTATAGAATTTGTTTGAAATATATTAATGTGAAGGTTTTGCATATTTAACCTTTTATAAAGTTAATACACGTTTACTTATATATTTTCAAAGAAACTTTGAGAAATGTTAAAGGCCTATTAGGCCTCAAAAATGCTTCTTTGTTTTTATCATTTTCAAAAGCATGTTATTTTTGGCGTTCCGTTACATTTACAGAACCCACAAAAAATTTTAACTCCTTATGTTTTTGGCATATAGTACAATTTTAGTGATTAAGTATTATGTTTGTTGAAGTCAAAATACTAATTTGTTTATATTTTGCTACTTTTACGACAAATGGTGTCACATTCAGTGCAACTTTCCTCCGGTAATAGGCATCTTATATGTTCCAAATCCAGTATTCAAACAGTATTAAACACGTGTTTGCCCATGTTTAAGAAGACAAAAATTAATTCCTGAGACATAATGTGCCTTTAAAAAGTATTTATTTACGTGCTTGGACATACTTTGTTATAATGCCCTCATGGACATGCGCAACTGAAATAACGAATAAACTT